TACAGACATTAAACACCCCCCCCACCCAAAAAAAAAAGGACGAAGCAGTGGGATAGTTTATAGGACGAAGCAGTGGGATAGTTTGACCTGGCTCCACAGCGTCTGCATAGATCAGGCACTTCAGTGGGGCTTTTTGGGGCTTTTATCTAAAGCTGAGGCTTTTATCTAAAGCCGATTCAACTTTAGATAAAAGCACCAAAAAAGCCCCACTAAAGTGCCTGATTATACAGACAACTAACATACTGTCTTTTCTGGGTATGCTTGGGGCTCAGCATGTGGGCGTGCTGAGTTTAAAGTGCCTTTTTTTTAAATGCCTACAAGCAGCCTTAAATGTTATACGCAAAGTTGAACAACTTCACCAAGACAGCATGGGAAACCACCATGCTACCCTATTCTATAGAGACTACTTTGTGGCTTAGGAAGTAGGAAGATTTCCTGGAAGGTGAGAGATGTGGCTTCAACTCCCATTACATAACGACTGTTTGCTCAAACGGAGAGTACCGCTACCATCTCCTTGACTTTCTCCATTTGACTTCTGTATAGGGCATGATTGGTTGGCTTGTTCTGAGGATGCCTTTTGGATCAAGCTTCACACATGAGATTAGATAAGCCACCAAGAAGATACTAATTTGATTATCCTGGCAGGCTTTAGGCATCAGCTAGACACGTCTACTCAGCACAGTCAAGATGTATGTTCTGGGCATGTTCAGCTGTGGCAATGTAGGCATTTGAAGGAATTCTATTCGAGCAAAGGATAGCTTCATGATTAGGCATCAGTTCAGCAGGAACTCTGAAGATCTGAATTTTGAAAGTATATACCAAAGCCCCTCTCTTAATTCTAGTCCAAACTGTCTCTGCAGGAGAACTGTCTCTTCCTAGTAAAATTCCCTTTAAGGAATTAAGGGTAGCAGGGAAGATTGTAAGCATTGCCCTCATCTTCTCCATACTGCTCAAGGAATGTCTTATCAGTATTATTCATAATGATAGGGTGGCATATGTGCTATCATGTGTACTTGAGAGCTGTGGGAGGAATTATTTCAGGTTGATTATATTGAAATGTGTCTGGCCTTCCAAGTATTTTCTTAATTTCCTTAAAATGCCTTAAATATATCAGCCACAATTTTTAAACCTTGTGTAGCATTTCTGAGCCCTAGGGGCAGCTTTGGGACCTCCCGGCATCTCTGACTGTAAGGTAGCTCTCCCTCAATTGTTTGCCCACCATGCCTTGTTCTTATTTAAGATTAGAAAGGGAGGCTGCCCACAGGCATTAGAGTGAGTCTTAGCACTTGCAAATCCCCACTGGGTCTCCCTTGGACCCCACTAGTCTCAATTCAGCCCTCAGGCTCAATGGGCCCACCCAGCCTGCCTGTACCTCTGCAGGACACCTATAGCCTTCAGGGCTATTTGTGTGGCTCCGTTCCACCCCTACACTATGCCCCAAGCCTCGCAGATGTTATTGTACCATCACTCATCTTGTAGAGGTCTTGGCCTTATCAGCATCCTCCCTTTTTCCTCTTGCTCGGCCGTTTAACCCAGGTCCACAGTACTGGACCTAGTTTCTAGACTTCAGCCTTTCTAACTGTGGGTGTCAGACCCTGTCAGTCTATGGCAGTGGCCCTTCCTGGACTTTTGGCCCCTCCTGGGCTAGTCAAGATCTCCAGGCTCCTCACTCTGGTAGTCCCTGGCTGTGGCTCTTTCTGACCTTTAGCGTATCCTGGCCTCTGGCTGTGCCCTCAGGTCAGTTGAGACCTCTGGGCTCCCTGGTCTGACTCGCTCCCCTTTGCCTCTGTCTCTGGCCATGTTCCCCCCTGGGCCCTGGCCCCACTCCTAGGCCAGTTGGGATCTCCAGGCTCCCCAGTTCTGGCAGTCTCTGGCACACTGCCTCTAGGCTTCTGCATCCTCTGACCCCACTGGACCCCTCCACTCCTACTCTCTCTAACTCTTGGTCTACCAGCACTCTCATTGAGCCTGTCCTTCCTTCGGCTCAAGGCTAAAAACCAGTGCGACTTAATTAAAAGCATCTGTGCCCTCTGGCAGATGCCCAAACTTTCCCTGGGATTAACATAAAAGCAAGGTCACCTGCCTGCATAAAGAAGCCCCTCTCTGCCCTAGGTACTTTTCCCTTGTTCCTGGGCCTGCAGAGCCACTTTCTCTCAGTCCATTCAGGAGACCTTTTGCTTTGCTGCTAGGAGCTCCTCACTTCATGGCGCTCAGACAGCAGGGCTGCCTGACCGGCTCATGCCTAGGGCTTGTATGTCTCAAGCCTGGCCTGCTGCTGGTCAAGTGAGTCCCTAATTGAGGGCTGGTCAAGTGAGCCCTTACCACCTGCAAGCTGACTTTCAGGCTGCTTGCTTCTTAAAGGAGCAGGCATTTCCCAGTGCCCTGCTACTCTGGCTGTGTCTACACATTCATTAATGCACTTTTGCTGCTTCACATTCAATTAATAAGTCTGTGAGGTACTAACTAAATGCACATTAGGCTGACCTAATGTGCAGTAGCAAAAGCACATGCATTTTTAGTGAGGTTTAATGTACAGTAGCCTAATTTTATTGGGCATTAACTTATTAGCATGGTTATTGCCATGATGCTGTAATGCACAGTAAAATGGGCTACTGCACATTAAAGCACATGTGGAGATGCACCTCCTCGTTACCTGAAAGTTAGGCCCCACAACCTTTTCTCTTTCTCTCTTACGTAGATTTTTAAAAATAGCTTTATTTCTGAATGTGCTAAATATTTACAGTCCCTATTGCCTGTACTGGGACTTTTGGGAACTTAGTGCTGGATGTATTGAATAAATAAATAAAAACACCAATCATTTTTCCAGGATTTTTGAAAAATAATTCAAGATGGAATATCAGGTTTCAGTTTCTTTTCATTTGTGACTTTGTGGCACAACCCTGGAATTATTTAATAACTGTGTTCATTTGTAGAGTCTAAGTGTAAATATCTCTTATAAGTAAAAATGCATACTAAAGTTCATCTTTTTTCATGGCTTTTAATCTGATGTTTGGAAAAGCTGTTCACATTTTTATCTCTATTGACCACAAAAATTACATAGTTTGCTTTTCTCTGCCTCTTTGTTGTAAATAGCATCAATATTTTTGCAGTGAAGGGGCAAGGATTATATTAACGCAGCTACTTTACAGAAGAATAATGGTAACGGCAGTCAGTGGCTCAAGTGCCAAAAGCCAGAAGCAAGATAACCTTAAACAAGTTGTTTTAATTTTTTTTTCCTTTAGAAAATATAAATAAAACATATTGACTGAAAGAGAAAACTACCTATTGGAAAAAAAAATCAAGAATCTAATGTTGTCACTATTGCATTTGTGATGCCTACTGAATATGAAAAATTTTCCACCTGGAAATTGAAAAGCTGTGTCTAGTGATCACTGAAATAAATAAAAAAGCCTTAAAAAGTTCCATTGAGGTTTTTAACTGAAATGTTGATTTTTCTCAGAGCTCATCTCAGCAATGCTGACACAAATATTATTTTATTCTCTTATTATTTACTTTATTAAGTATTTATAAAATGGCAATGTACTGTAGGTCAGTTTTAAAAAGATTCTGCCCCTGACCTAGAAATAATTATGTATATCAAGGGAACATAAAATACAGATAACAAACAATGGAAGGAATGAGGAGTCAGAACAGCGGACCTTTTAACGTTGATACTGTCAGGCTGTATTTTTTATAATGAGATTTATAAAAATATTTTCAGCCTTCAAATTTTAATAAAATACATAAAAGTATTGTTTTGCTATTTCAGTTCTTGTTCATGGCTTGCCTTTCTATACAAGTCAGCACTTGTAATATCAAAAACATATATGTTCTTTATTTATTAAGTTGTAAGATACTGAAATGAATATTAAAACAACACTATTTAAATTTCCTTTAGTACACTTAGCAGCTAATGTTCTTTAGCACTAACAGTACTTCTAAGGGAAATTCATTCAAAAGACTGAGGATTTGATTTTGTGGCATTTATTCTCATGTAAGTATTCATACATTGACTAAAATGAATCAGTGTTACTTGGACTACACTTTACAAATTGGGATTTGATACTTTCTGCATGTGCTGCTACTTCTTGTATTATACATATTCTTTCCATTTTACAATCAGCCAAGGAAAGGACCGTATAAAAAGATTAGGATTCATCTGCATTATGGGGTTTATCTTCTGTTGCTTTTCAAAGGTAGTACAAAGGATATCTTGTCTATATTGTTTTCAGAGAGTAAAGTTAGTTTTGATTTTTTTTCCCTCTTTGTGTACTGTCCTTCTAGGTGTCTTCAGATCTTCCAGTGATTGGTGGCACCCCAACCCTCACTGTAGAACCTGATGACACAGCTGCTTACACTCTGAATGTATTTCCATGGAAACGAGGGATACTTCAAGGTACAGTGTTAAATGTAACAGAGTATCAGGCTCTACATTTTTATAATATCTACGATATACAGATGTATAAATTGGCCCTTTCCAACATCTCCAGTTAAGTTAATTCAGATAGTATCTGTTCACATTCTTTTTCTGTTTATAGTATAGTGGACAACAGAACATAGTTTCCTTGATCTTTTTGTCTTTCTGAATGAGACACAGGTTTCTACAAAGTTTTTGTTTCATTGCTTATGTGCTGTTGAAAAATGTATGCATGAGAAACAAAATTTTAATGTGGAATAGCTTTTCTTGGGAACCTGGGGTCCCCAAACACATGACAGAACTCTGCTCTGACATGTGCTAATTACCATGTGTCAGAGCAGATTCAATCGAACTGTGAATCTGCTGGAGTGTGCTAATTAGTGCACTCCAGTAGCCTTCATGTCACATATTTAGTGTCACAACATATTAAAATGGTGGCGGGGGCACTTTATCTAGAACTCATCAAATGAACTTTAGTTAAAGCACCCCTGCTGCCATTTTGAAGTGAAGGATGTTGAATGCATATAACTCTGTGGGTGCCGCCTCCTCCACCCTGGAACATGTGTATGGATGCCCCTAAAGCTCAACCAAGTAAAGCTTCACTCCATACCAGCGACCACAAGCTGATCACCTTCACCACCGCCATAGAGCTGGCAAGTCAGTCAGAAACACGGAAGTTCTTGACTTCAGGAAAGCCGACTTTGACAAGCTCAGGAGGCTTGTCAGTGAGGCCCTAAGAGACCACGACCCGGTGGGGGGGGGTAGTTCAGGAAGACTGGTTGCTCCTCAAGGGAGCTATCCTTAGTGCACAAGGTAATTCTATTCCATCTCAGAGGAAAGGCAGCAAGAGGGCACAGCAGCCCCCCTGGCTCTCCAGGGATCTAGCAGACCTCCTGCAGCTAAAAAGAAAGGCCTACAAAGGATGGAGGAGGGATTCACCTCCAAGGAGGAATATTCTGCACTTGTCCGGTCCTGCAGGGAGCAAACCAGGAAAGCCAAGGCTGCAAATGAACGCCAACTAGCTTTCAGTATCAAGGACAATAAAAAGTTCTTTTTCAGTTATGTGGGGAGCCAGAGGAAAAGCAAGGGCAACATTGGACCCCTGCTGAACCAGATGGGACAACTGACAACTGACGCCCAGGAAAAAGCCAACCTATTAAATGGGTACTTTTTGCGTCGGTCTTTCATCAGTCCTATGGGATGCCCATGCCCACCACGGGTGAGGGAGATCCCCTGCCCTCCATCAATGCTGACCTCGTGAAGGAACACCTTGAGAGGCTGGATACCTTCAAGTCAACCGGCCCTGACAATCTACAACTCAAGGAGCTGGCGGCATCATAGCCCAGCCTCTGGCATGGATCTTTGAGAACTCCTGGCACTCTGGTATAGTGCCTGAAAACTGGAAGAAGGCCAATGTGGTGCCTATTGTCAAGAAAGGGGGGAAAGTGGATCCAGCAAACTATAGGCCCATCAGCCTGACCTCTATTCCAGGGAAGGTCTTAGAAAAATTTATTAAAGAGGCCTTCCTTAGTGGACTGGCCGCTGCCAACATCCTAAGGGATAGCCAGCATGGGTTTGTTGTGGGTAGGTCTTGCTTAACTAATCTCATTTCCTTTTACGACCAGGTGACCTATCACCTGGACAAGGGATAAGAGCTTGATGTCATATATCTTGACTTCCAAAATGCCTTCTATCTGGTATCTCATGATCACCTCTTGGCAAAACTGGCCAAATGAGGCCTTGGGTCCATCACAATCCGCTGGCTGGGAAATTGGCTCCATGGGGTGGTAACTGATGGAAGTCAATCATCATGGTGCCCTG